CGGCCGCGGCTGCCCTGGCTCCTGCCCCGCTGCCGGCTGCGTCCCCCAGGCCCCGGCGTTGTCGGAACCGGGAACCGGGACCGGGACTGGCTGTACCCGCGTCTGTGTACGAACAACACGTCTGTTATTCAGGGAGCATCTGGTTCTGGTCAGCACTTGCCACTGTTGTGCTTCACCCTGTTGGTACTTCACACTAGGGATGGGTATGGTACAAACAGAAATTCAGCAAGAGATTTTTTTTACTCTCCTTCTGTATGGTATACGCTGTTCCAGAGAGAAGAAGAAGCCAAAATCCAAAACAACTAACCCCAACTCTGAATTTGACTGTGAACCAGGCACTGAAGGGAGGAAAAGGAAGTCCTGTTTATGCCTGGTATCTTGGAGAGGCTATGCAAGAACAGTTCACTCTTAGATAAAGAAGGGCCAGGAAATACTGCCAAGATTGACAGTATTTTATCTGTTACACAAGCACCAGTGCTACAGCCTATGGTTACTCAACTTCAAACTTTTTTTTCTCTTAAACTTACAGCATATCCAGAAATATAGATATGCCTCAACTGCATCTTATTCAAGATTTTTTCTTTAAAAAAAAACATAAAGAAAATTATGATACCCACATTTTTTTACATTCATGGATCCCTTGTTAGACATTTCTTGTTAGCGGGCATATTTGGCAATCCCTTAAACTGTAACAGAGGTTCTAGCCAGAATGGAGTTGACCTCGTCTCCAGTTAAATACCATAGGCATTAATTTAATTAATTAATTTTGCTCTCATGAATTTTTCTCAGTGTCTTACACATAATAATAGTTTCTTCCATGGATCCATCCTGTTAACAACATCCATGAGATGACTCGATCAAGCAGAACTCATACAGAGTCTTCTTCATACCAATGGAAGAAAATAGCACTGGAACTTAACACATCTTTGTCTTATTCATAACTTCCCCGTATCCAAACCTGAGAAGCTTCAGTAAAATGGCACAGAAGAGCGTTGCACACAGCTTGTAGCACCATGTAGCAGCCATAAAGAGGGGTTACGGCACCGCGGTCCAGCGGCCTCCTGGAGTCTGTAGATTCCTCTGGAGATGGGAAAGCTGCTAAGAGCAAGACTGAATATGCTTAGAAGGACATAAGGAGTCCAAGCCTTCCAGGGAGGGAAGGCACCTTTCATTAGACCATCGAATACATTTAAGTAGGCAAGCTTCACTGTAACCACCTTTTTCTCATAGCTGGTCTAATATGGGTATTATCCATCCCTACAAGTTTTGCAGCTCTCATCAAGAGCTTAATGTCTTCTGCATTGGACAGGTGCAGAAGAATCCTCTTCCTTTGCCTGGTAATAATTTAACTTACTAAAAATGAAAAGAACAGAATGATGCAGAGCTGTCCTCAGAGGTCCCCACGCATTCCTATGTGTCCCCACAAATCCCCACATGCCCCCACACGTCCCCACACATTCCCATGCATCCCCATGTGTCCCCACACATCCTCACAAATCCCCGTGTGTCGCCATACACCCCCACACGTCCCCACACATCCCCACATATCTCCACATGTCCCCATGCATCCCTGCACTTCCCCACGCATCCTCGCAGATCATCATGCATCCTTACGTGTCCCCAAGCGTACCGACACATCCCCACACATCCCTACGTGTTCCAATGCATACCGACACGTCCCAACAAATCCCCACACGTAACCACACGTCCCCATGTGCCCCACACATCCCCACACCTCCCCATGCATCTCCACGTGCCCCTAGACGTCCCCACGCGTTCCCACGGATCCCCACACGTCCCCATGCATCCCCACAGGTACCCGCACATTCCCACATGTCCCCACGCGTCCCCACGTGTCCCCAAACATCCCCACGCGTCCCCACGTGTCCCCTCGCATCACCACGCGTCCCAGCACATCTCCACACATCCCCACGCATCCCCATACGTTTTCACACATCCCCAAGTGTCCCCACATGTCCTCACACATCCCCATAGGCCCCCACAACTCCCCACTTGTCCCCACATATCTCCACGCATCCCCACACGTCCCCACGCATCCCCACACATCCCAACATGTCTACACGCAGCCTCACGTGTCCCCACACATCCCCACGTGTCCCCACACATCCCTACACATCCCCATAAGTCCCCACAAGTCCCTATGGCTCCCCACACATCCCCAAACATCCCCACGTGTCCTCCCGTGTCCCCACATGTCCCCAAGCATCCCCACAGGTTCCCATGCGTCCCCACACCTCCCCACACATCACCACACATCCCAAAACGTCCTCACACATCCCCACGCATCCCCACGTCCCCACGTCTCCACATGTCCCCACACATTCCCACATGTCTCCACATGTCCCCACATATCCCCACATGTCCCCACTTGTCCCCACATGCCCCCACGTATCCCCACACGTCCAAACACGTCCCCACTCATCCCCACATGTCCCAACAAGTCTCCACATTTCCCCAAACGTCCCACATGACCCCACACTACTCAATGAATCCCCACGCATCCCCATGCGTCCCAACAAATCCCCACACGTCCCAACATGTCCCCACACATACCCACATGTCTTCACATGTCCCAGTATGTCCCCATATGTACCCACGTCCCACACATCCCAATGCATCCCGACGCATCCCCACGCGTCCCAACATGTCCCCACACATCCCCACACCTCCCCACACATCCTCACATGTACAAACACGTCCCCTCGCGTTCCCATGCATCCCCACACATCCCCACAGGTCCGCATGTGTCCCCACGCATGCCCACACAGATCCCCACATGTACCCACACATCCCCACATGTCCCCA